CTAGCGGGGAGGGGGAAAGGAAAGTTACATAGCTGATTTTATCTGGTAGACCAACTAACCACATTTGTTCACTGTCCTGGATCCTCTGCTTTTTGTTCTTGTTGTGTTGTGTTGTTTTGTTGTGGGTATGTTTTTGAACTCCCCCCACTGGTGAAGAAGTTTGCCCCATCACTCCGAAAGAGACCTTTCTCTGCAGTTAAAGACTTTCCCTAGGCATGCAGAAGTTGACACCTTTCCCCATAGCTGAGGAGTTTTCCCAGATACAAGGCTGAGGACTTTTCCTGGGAATGCCAGGAGATAGACCTTTTACCATGGCTGAGGAGCTCTCTATGGAATACTGACAGAGAGACCTTTCACCATGGCTGAGGCGTTTTCCAAGGCATACCGACAGAGAGACCTTTCCCTGCAGCTGAGAAGTTTTCCCAGATACAAGGCTGAGGACTTTTTCTGGGAATGCCAGCAGAGAGACTTTTCACCATGGCTGAGGAGTTTTCCCAGGAATACAGACATAGAGCCCTTTCACCATGGCTGAGAAGTTTTCCAAGGAATACTGACAGAGAGACCTTTCACCATGGCTGAGGCGTTTTCCAAGGCATACCGACAGAGAGACCTTTCCCTGCAGCTGAGAAGTTTTCCCAGATACAAGGCTGAGGACTTTTTCTGGGAATGCCAGCAGAGAGACCTTTCACCATGGCTGAGGAGTTTTCCCAGGAATACTGATAGAGAGACCTTCACCATGACTAAAGGGTTTTCCCAGGAATACTGAGAGACTTTTCACCATGGCTGAGGAGTTTTCCCAGGAATACTGATTGAGAGACCTTCACCATGACTAAGGGGTTTTCCCAGGAATACTGAGAGACTTTTCACCATGGCTGAGGATTTTTTTTTCCTGGGCACAAGGCTGAAGAGTTTCCCTGGGCAGGCAGGAAACATTGACCTCAACTGAACTGAAATAATTGTGATTCAAGTGATGCATTCTTGTCCATTTTACATAAATAATATTATATATTAATGAGTTGACAAGTATTCATTTTTGTCCATGAAAGCCAAATAAATTCAGCTTTGTTCCACAAATAAATGCATTTTACTTAAGAAATTAATATTTACTTTTTGTCACAAGATGATGCCTCCCCCACCTAAGCTCAGTGTTCCTGAATATTTGGCCCAATAACCCCAGTCACCTGTGTTTTCTACTTAGCTTCTTTCTGTCGACATCTCCTGTATCTATGTCTTGTTAGTCTTTCTGTGTGAGGAGCCCTGTGTACTATTTAGGACTTAATAAAACCAGTAACTCAATATTACATCCAGTGTTCTCATTCGTGGTAGTTACTACATCATCCTCTTCAAGAGGAATTAAATGCAGAATTATACATCATAATTACTACACGCGGTCATCCACTGGCTTTCATGGGGGAAGGTTTTGGGCCAACTGTACAAGTTAAGAGAAGAACTCAGAATGTTCCTGATAGGATAAAAATCTGCATATGTGGAGTTGATTGCAAATGCTTGATGGTGCGGGAAAACCTGCGTACCTGAATGCTAAAATACAAGGCAAGGCTATTTGTACCTCTTGGTCTCTTATCTGTAACTTATCTGTGTCTTGTATGTCCTTCTTTTGTTAGCCTTTGTTCTCAGATGCAAAGTGCAAGATGTTACCAAGGACAGGAGAATGCCACTGTAGAGCGGAAAAAGGCCCAAGCAAAGAAATAATGTACCATCAACTGGTTGACAATGTCATCATATCTACAGATGTTATCTTCTTCTGAGTCCCCTTTTTAGTGTAGAAATGGCCTCCTGGACATCTTTAAACTCTGTGGTAAATTGGGAGTAGCCAACAAGAACCTGGGTGCTCCACCTGACACAACAAAGATGGCGCCATCAAAGGTAAGTTGCGATAGTCATAGTAACAAGAAGGACCCTTAAGTCAATCCAATTTAATGGAATAAATATACAGGCTTCTTTCCAGTACCAAAGGAAATTAGCACTTAACTTCTACTGTGAAAACAATGGCACACTTGAACAATGAACAAAGCAACTGCTACCATAAACAACAATTTCCAGTTGTACAAAGCCTGTTAAGCTTAACTCCCGTGTTCTCACTCTTTCCTCAGATATCTGCAACCTTTTGCTGGTTGATCTCACTCACTCTTGCTTGGGCCGCTCCAGCATGCAACTCCAGATCAATCCTCCAGCTCATTCACTGGCCCTTTTCAACAATCCGCTACACAAAATGGATTCAAGTCCCAGCCAATTTATCATTACTCCTCTAATCCATGCTTTTTCCTAATTAATTATATCCGCCCCCCATATTGCTGGTTACATCCCACAACTAAACTTCCCCCTGTCCCCAGGTCCTTAGTCACCCATGACATGTGGTCATTTCTCATGAATTTTGTGGCTGGGAGAGGAGGTGTGTTGGCACCATCTCCAGGAAGGATAAAGGTGTAACATTGAATCCTCTTGTTTTGATTGGGTATCTTGGTTGTAACTCCTCCAGTTGCATCCAGATATAGAGATGTGTTCTTCTTGTTTCTGAGGTGTGACACAAGGATTCCCATTCCCTGTTATGTGTTCATATACATTGCAAATGGATCCACTTTGTGGAGTATTTCCATGGTCATGTAGCCTGGAGCTCTTTGGGCTTTCAGATGAGATTGTTTTCAGAACATTCCTTGGAATGCATTCAGACAGGTTTTCAATCGGAGCTGAACTTAATAGTAATTATTTACTTTAAAATAATCTAAAGTGAAAAAAAATGCCTATACTTACATTTACTTTCACTTTCCATTCTCGCGGCCTATATAAACCACTGGAACTCAGCCTGGCCCATTTTTAATCCTGTTTTCATTCATCTAAGTGGTCAACTTTTGATGTTGACCCTCTTAGGTCGAGGATTCTTATGCAACATCAAAGGACGTCATAAATAAAAGAGCAAATATTTTGTGAACTCTGCATGCAGGAGATGTACTTTCATTTTTCCCGGAAGAGTAGTTTTCAGGCAACAAGTGAGAAACACTTCTGATTGGTCGGCAGACTCGACCCAAGGTGTCAGTAACAGCCCTGCTAACAACAGCATTAACTCTTTTAAACATGGAGAAATAGATAAATAATCACAGAAGACATTCAGTGTTGGATTTATCATTATGGGTTTATTTAAGTCTCCAAAAAAACAGAGGAAGGATACAATCGCAATAGATTCCTCATTGAAACAGCAAAATGCTAGCCTTCTGGGAAAAAATGAACGTCAATAGCATGAAGCGTTCCCAAGATGTTTATTCTTTAATGTATGAGGTCCTTTGATGTCGTGTACAACATCATCGACCTGAGAGGGAAAAATGCCCAAAGTTTTGTTCCAAGCCTAATCTATCACACCTGATCCAGGCAGTAAAGGCCTTCAGCGGCATCTGGATATTACAGACAGGTGTGACGGATCTCAGCTTCCCAGAGTGGTGGATCTGCAGGACCAAGATTGACCACCCCTGTATTAGCTTTAGAAAATAAAATCCTAAAATATGATATTGATGGATTTCAAAGTGAATCTGGACTAACAAAGTGCACTAACAAAGTTTGCAGGTGTACTTTACAGCTTTACTGACTGAACTCTCAATCGCTAACTGCAAGCTAGATTTACTGTTTTCTTAACAGCCTCTTTCGTTTTTCAGTAGGTCTATTTTTTATTATATTATAACGGGATGTAAAGGGCAACCTCTCTAAAAACTAATTAACTCCAAGCTGATTATTATTATTTGACTTGCAAATGCATCGTTGAATCATTTGATCTGTATCTGTAAACAGAATTGAACTTTACCTCATTAAAAAAATTGGTTGGATGTCATTGGGCCATCATGGTCGTTCTGCTCTTCTACATCTGATGCACAGTTGTTGAAGTCAGTATGATAAAAAGTAGGTGTTGTGCGATTTTAAGTTGTTTTTAAGTCTTTCATGTTTTCTACCAGAAGATCATAATATTATTTACTCTATGAAGGCTTTGCAACATATTTGGAGGTCTTGCTGGATGTGCCTGGAGATTTGGGTCTCAGATTAAGGGGACCTGGCCAAAAAAGCTTTGCGCAGGGCTTACCTGCAATGCCAATGTTTGGACTGTATGGACTGGTCAGTATTGGGTTCTATGTTGTTATTCACCCTTTTGGCACGTTTTCCTTTGCTGTTGTTTTAATTGCTTATTCACTGCAGTTTGTTTCATTGTTTATATTTGCAATTATTTTCTAATCTTATTAACTAACCATATTGAATTGATGATAATATGTTCTTGGCCTTGGTTCAAATTTAAAATGTGGCAATAAGGATAGTTATGACTGGTTGATGCAATGTGTAACTAAAGGTATCAGAATCCTTATCTTTTCAGGTTAGCTGAGTAAGAAAGGAACGCCAAGAATCCCGTTCATAAATACCTTCTTCCTAATCGTAAGTATATTTAACTATTTGATCCTTGATGAAGATGTGAAGCCTGGCAGTAATAATGATGTGATAAATATGGGCCATATGTTGTGAGTCCCTGTCCATGGTTCTGAAAGCCCTTCTTGGTTACTCATTTTTGGCTGTGACAATTCAGGCTCCTCTGATTTTAAAATGATGGCAAAATAGCCCAGTAGCTGTGGGTTCATGACCAATGTTAATGTAGTTGGAAGCAGGCAAACTTTATTTCACTGCAACAGAACATTTTAACATATGACACAAAAATAAGTATCACATGAAACAATGAACAAATGATAAATTATCAGGAATATTAACAGTATATGACATTGTTTTAATAACCGTGCAGTTAGAATTTGTCATATCACAAAAGCCATAATCACTTTTAATTTTCTAGACAAATAGAAAAATATAAAGTTTTCTTTATGTTAATTCCTTTTTTTTTCATGATGATATTTATATTATTGCTGTCTGAACAAAACCTCAAAAAAAAGTTTGACTTTCAATGTAAGTTAGTGACACAAGATGTTATTCTAAGTCATTTTGGATTGTTTCTATTAGTTGGTTCATCATGAAATGTAAACACAGTGTAAAAGGCAGCTGGTATTTTCAAATTATGTTAAAATATTAAAAAAATGACAAAAATGGAGATACAATGTTTTGTTTCACCTGAGTTCTTGCCATACATATTCAGATAAATGTTCCCTCTAAACTGGATTCCCTCAAGCTACATCAGTTCCCACCCTGACCAGTAAGGAACCAGAACGCTTGGACATCGTCGATGTCCAGAATCATCCTTGTTAAGTCTATATTCTCTCAGTTTTAACCTCAGAATATGTACAGATGTTCTCAACTCTCTTTTTTGTTGTACGTTTCTGTCCTCTGCTCGGGATGTCCAACGAAGCATAACAAACCTCGCGTCCTTCTACCTGTAGTTAGAAGACATTCGCCCTTTAGACAGCTTAAATATATTACAAGCAAACACTTAATAACAACAATAATAATAGTTTATAAGACATCTATTAGCAGTTTCATATTTGACTAATGACAAATTGTGTTTATAGTTATTTATCATTAATTAATACATCAGCATTACTTTCTAAGTACATATAAACCATTACTTGTTCATGATTTACAAAGGACTTAAGTTATTACCACTTTATTTGAAGGCTGACCACAGAAGTACTACATAAAACATGCAGAGGCACTGAATAACATATTTATAAAGCAATATTAAGTATTGATGACGAGCTTATGGTTGTAACTGCAACATGACATAAGATATATTATAAAGTAAATGACATTGCATTGACATAAGGGATCTTAAACTAAAGTGATGGACATTTGTTCCATTTATAACACTATTATAATCATCATTCCTGTAACTTAGAGTGAAAGCCTAGTTTAGAATTTCATATCAGTTCTCTGTTGTTCTTCATGAGTTAAAGTATAAAACTCAATGTCAATTCAGTGTCATTTACTTCAACTTATGTTACATTGCGATTGCTGACATAAGTTGTTCATTAAGCTCAAGCATTGCTTTAAAATATGTTATTCAGTGCTTATATGTGTGTTATGATGTAGGTAGCCTTCAAATAAAGTGTTACCAGTTATTTTTGCAGCCCTAATCTGAAGTGGTGACTGTGTCCTGTCCCTGGCTCCACCCTTTTCCTGTTTCCTCCCAGATTGTAGCTCCACTTTATCACAGTTTCCAACAGTGTGTATGTGGTTACCCTCCTTTCCCAGGTGGTTGCTATTCTTGTCTTTCTGTTTGCCTTTTTCTAGTCATTCGCTTCATATTTTGTATGCAGTTTTTACCTAAAGTTTAATAAAAACAAACTGTAAAATCAGTGCGGTTCATGAATGTCTACCAAATCATTTAGCAGGCTAAAACGTTTAGCATTCAATCTTAAGCTCTACCCAAAACCTAATTCTAAGCCTAACCTTAACCTCAACCCAAAACTTAATCACTCATATGTTTTTGACATTACTGAGAATCTGTTGAGTGTTTGTTTTATCTACAAGCACCACTGAAAAAAAGGGTAACCCATTAATTATAAAGTAATGTGAAAAAGCAGACAATCAATCACTGTCCAAAGAAAAACATGTATCTCTAACTCTGTTGATTTTTATTTCTTTGCATCATTTGAGGTCAGCAGCTGTCCAGGGAAATTTCATGATGAAGGGAACAATATAAATGGTCCAAAATCACTTGGAATAAAATCTCTTTACATTAACTTACATTAAAAATTTAAGGCTTCTCCTGTAATGTTACTATTTTGAAGGTACATGTTTTCCTTTGGACAGCAACAATATGTAGACTGTTATTTTTATAATCTATTAAGATAAATTTCCTGGTTAGTACATGGATCCCCATATGAAGTAATAGCTTATACATCTCTTATAAAGTAAAGCAAAATATTAATTAATGATGTATAACTAAACGCCCATGATAAATTAAAGTTATAAAGTAAGAGCTAATAGGTGTCTTGTAAGCTATCATTATTATGAAGCATTACCCATTGCTATATATCAGGGGTGTCCAGCCTTATCTTTAAAGAAGATGTAGCCGCTGTTCATTCCTACAAAGCTTGAGCAAACATGAACGGCTATTGAAGATGAAGACCAATTGATTAAGTAGAATCAGCTGTGCTCTGGCTTGTTTGGAATGCAGACACACCAGCCCTTTGCAGGTAAGACTGGACACCCCTGCTATGTAGTGTACAGAGTGTTATGTGTGCTGTACCTCATTATGTTTTCTCACCTTCACACTCCGCTGTTGGTCAGCTCCACAGTCTGATACTATGGTCAGGAAGGACATAACAATACACTCAGACAGGCAACATTAACATTCGAAAGATTTTACCAATGGACTTTTTGTACCTTTAGTTTTGCCGCAGTAGTAAGCACAGGTTAAGGTCAAGCATGACGAGAGGAGAACACACACAGGACACACACTGACCAGCAGCTTCCAGCAGACACTACAGTCTGATACAGGAGGGGTGGGAGGGGTCTGGGGGAGATCAGGACAGGGGCCTGTAATAAGACATAAAGTGGAACTGCATTAATGAATCCTGTGAACTGGGGGAAATGCAGGCTCAGGCTTCCACCCCTCACAGTTATAACTTTATGTAAAGTATAAAATAATCATAAAGGTTCATTATAAATGCTGTATGTCTGTTTGTAACAATTGTGCATAAAGCATGTAACACTTTATTTTCTAATGGAGGTGACATTAACCAATATAGCACTGATATTTATTTATATGGGACTCCTAACTACATACATACCGTAAAAGAAAATGGCCTACAATTCATTTTTTAATGAACGCCTTTGATTTAAAAATGCATTCCTAGAACTCAAGAGAACTTTTTGGTAACACTTTACTTGAACCCTACCACAAACCTTTACATAAACACATTATGACTGACATCATATGCATGTCCAGTAATATAACCATTACTGTTAACTGCAATAACATAGGCTATAATGTGTAATGGCATGACAGCAAATGTGACATAAGCCATCATAACATCCAACAATTTGGAATCTGTCATGAAAATTATAGGTAACTGTAATATGATGCTGTTATATTAGAGAACAAAATCTGTCTTGACAACTCATGACAGCATGTAACATCTGCCACAACATGTTTATTACATGGTTATGTTAATATTACACATTTTAAAAAAAGTGTTGAATGAACTCAATTCAATAATGCTTACATTTCCAATGAATTAAATACAGCTCAGGTAGTCAGTACAGTTAGTATACAATGACTTTGTTACCTCAACATAAAATGCAATTTTTGATGGAGCAAAATTTACACATCATTGTAATTTTGGAGGGTTTTCATTTGGATCAACATAAACAGGTTGCATTCAATAAAATGTACGTTCAGACATTTTTGTCCATGACCTATTTACTTAAAGCTAGTTCAGTTAGTTATTTTGTTTGTCAATATCGCTGTTGTCGGTAGAAAACTTTGTATCTCCATTTTTGCCGTTTTTCAGTTTTTGACATAATTTGAAAATACCTGTTGTCCTTTACATTGTGTGTAAAGATGAATAGACCAAAAGAAATGATCCAAACTTACTTGGAAAAACTCTGGTTCCACTGACTTACATTAAAAGTAAAGTATGTTTTTTCCTTCTCCTGTAAAGTTCTCGTTTTGGATGAGGTTTTGTTTTGACACCAGTGATATATTTTCAGTTAGTAAGTTCACCAAATCCGTCAGAGCGTATAAAAAGGTAAGCAAAATATTCTTTGGCTGTAACCTGAACATTTATTAACAAGCACAAAGAATCAGCTGTAATCTTACCGAAGAGAGAGAGTCGGGTGGTCCTGTTTCCATAATGGTAAATATTCTCATTGAGTATAATTCCTTTTCCTCCAGTTATCTTTTTGTCATGTATGGCACAATAGTAAAGGCCCAGATCTGATTCAGTGACATTCCTCACCAGCAGATCATGAGTTCTGTTGGAGGGATTCCACACCAACGTGTAGCGTGGAAGAGTCCCAAGCAGGAAATCCTCAGTCGAGATACTTAGAGGAGGTTGATGCTCACATGAAGAGTTTCTAAACCAAACTATGTTGAATCCACTCTCCCAAACACAGTCGCAATAGAGAGTGATGTCGTCTCCTGGTCTGACTCTCAGCTCCACTTCTGCTCCAGAGATCCTGGAGAACAAAACAGCTGAAATACAACAAAACACACTTTAAACTAAACAAAGAAAAGAAGATTTTACATTACATAAATGTGCTGATGGCAAAATATACATTATTGAATAAAAGTGAAAAGTTTACTTACACATGAGAGTGATGAGAGTGACACTTGAGCTCTCCATCTCAGAGACTGGTGCTGGGGGGATGATAATGGTGAGGGTCTTAGAGGCGGATGTCTGTGTCGAGATCTGATTGGTCCATGTCAGTGGAACATTTCTATTTTTGATTTTGTTTCACCGCAAAGGTACCAGACATGTCACCGGCGAGAGTTGTGGAAAAAGCTTTCTGAGTCGTCGTTTCCCTGACCTTTTTTCACATTACACATCTCTTTGGATGCAGTGGGTGTGTTGGATTTTCCTGTGAAATAACAACCAATGCAAATAAGATCACATGAAATTTAAATCAGAATACACATTTTCAGCTTTAAACCACAGGTGCTTCTCGGGTTCTACAGTATAGCGGCATTATAAGCCCTTATTAAGCCTTATCAAGCCGACAGCTGCTCATTACCACTTTAGTAAGCAACTAGGCTAAGTTTTTCACTCTACTTTATTTGTGTTTTGAAAATCCTAATCTTGTGCATAGTGTCCATTGTAATGCCCTTATTAAGCCTTGTAAAGCTAACAGATGGCAACTAGCTTATCAAACCAACAGCTACTATTTAAATAACTACTTTATTGCCACAAAATGTGCTGTGGAAATAGTGTAATTCAGCCTAGTTGTTAAATAATAAAGTAGCCAGCCAGTTAATTACCAATTTCTGGCTTGGTAATATTTAACCCCTTAAACTCCCAGGCTTATTACGTACTAAGGCTTATTATTCAGTAACTACATGGACTTCAATGCAAACTTGCTGAGCTATTCTTAGGTTATAGAACTGTGTAATAAAACTTTGGGCCCTGGCCATTTAAGGGGGTAAACAGCATTATAATGTCAATCTATACTAAATCAATGCTCTATCTGCTCTAACCTAGCTGATTAATATGATCATCTAATTGTCAAACCCATCAAATCAGCTGTATCAGATGTTTTGAAGCACAAAGTGAATTTAGCTTAGCAGGTTATTGTAGTGAATCTGAGCGTTTGACCTTTACCGTTTGACAACTTCAAGCCAGTTTTAACACATCTGAAGTCAGTGGCCTGATGTGTGCTTGCTATGAGTTTCCTGTTTGTGCACGCTTGACACTCGCGCTTTCACCCTCGACACTGTGCGTGGGTGGGCCGCAGCGAATCTTCAAACGTTGCTGTTTGTGGTGGTACGTGAAAACAACCATGTTTCCATTACAGTATAAACTTATTGCTTTAGCCAGCATGTAAACCTGTTTGACACTGTTAGATTTAGGATATATTCACATGTTTTAAAACTTTAGGAAACCAGTCTTTTATTTCACTGGTTCTCCAGCCAAAATGTCTAGTTAAATGGGTTACATTAAGCAAAGTTTAGCTTTATTTATCAGTTTACAACAACTTTGCGGCCCAGTCTGGGCCAGCAGACCACCAGGGGGGATGTGTGTATGGGGGGTTAAGTGCCTTACCCAAAGGCAAAACCAGGAGTAGCCAATGAGTCCTGAGATATGAACCCACAACCTTCTGGATGTATCCTCACTTCTTTTACTACAAGGCTACTGGCAAGCAACGTGTTGAGGAGCTGTCCATTTGTTGTGAACAAAGTTATGTCATTAAGTGCTGAAAATTAGTATTATGGCCTGAAAGGTCCAGCATAATAAAAAAAAACAGGAACAATCTAGAGTCGAGTGTTGTTTCAGTGCAGGGAGATGATCTATGTGTGGTGAGAATGGACGGGAGGATGTTGGTTTCCATTTCCTGTTTGTACACGTGTGAGTATGTGCATTGTGGCTTCTGCTCAGAAGAGCTTCTGCTTTTCTCTGCATTCATGCAGTGACCGCTGCTAACCACAGATGTTTCCATGACTGTGTGTGGTGCAGAAGACAAAGTGCCATTTGAGGTACAGTTTAACACACCAATCTCATGAACTTCATCATTTTTGCTGAACTGATCTTGACATTTTAAACAACTTTAAAGATACTAATTGCTTCTTTGGGCCACTAAAGGCTAGTTTAGAGTTAGGACAAATGTATTGCTAAGGTATGATTAGGATTAGGACTTCTGTGGCTCCCACAGAAATTTAAACAGAAGCTGGTAACTGATTGGACCAGGTGCCACTCTTGGATAGGGTTTACTATTAGAAAAAACATTTTTGTTCACCAGGGTATGAACAATGTGAATGTACCCTCAAAGATACAATGATGTTCCGTTTAAGTCCAATATGTTTTCAAATTGCACTACACTATTTTTACCTTTTTAATGCAAAATAATAATACTAATAATAAGAATAAAAATCAAAATCAAAACAGGGTTCATGAAGTTCACGAAGTGAATATAACTTCTGGGATTGTAAACTATAATTGCAATGGTCTATGGCATAATTATCTTCTCTAACTAAAGGTACTGAAAACCTACCCTTTAGCGTACCACTCCAATGATGTGAGGTGTCGACCATGCCAGATGCTGAGGTCATCCAGGCCATTAGTCACGGACAAACTGTCCACCAAGAAGCCTTCCTTGGCCTGCTCCTACAGAATAAAAAGTGCTAGGAGCAGTTGGAGGAGAACCAGCTCTAGACTAGTCGGGAACCTGCTGCCGGAGCAGCACTCCCCAGCATGCACTCTCTTTTCCGCCTTCACCCCTCCTATGACTTTTACAAGAAGGCCTGCAGCTTTCCCTCTGTTTCTTGCTTCATGCCTTCTTTCCCCTCCTGTCTCAGAACCTTGATGGAGAGGGGACCTACCACCACTGCTAAGCTCATATGCTTCCTTTCCCATCCCTAGGAAAAAGGAGCCTTTCCTGCTCCTTGGCTGCAGGGAGCTCCCCTTCCCAAGCACCTGCCCCTGTTGTTTGCACAGGTTGGGTCCCTGGCCTGAGTTGGGTCAGGGGGGTCTGTGCCAGGCATCAAAGCCTCAGATGCCAGTGAGAAGTAATGAAGTCTTTTAAAGCCATCTAAATTTAAGAACCAGGTGTTCTGGATCTGAACTATCCAGGGTGGTAGATCTGCAGGAAAAGTACTGAACACCCCTGTTGTATCTATTCAGGTTGCTGACCAAGGACATCTCTACATGGCTAAAGCTTCTGGATGATGGACACTACTAGCATGGTAATGCATCATGCCACAGGGCATGCATATTATATTGAATGGTTCCAGAAACATGACAGTGAGTGTTCATTGCTTTAGTGGCCTGCACAGCCTCAAAATCTCAACTCTGTCAGGCACCTTTGGGAAAAGCCTGTTCACAACAACTGCACAGTGCAGTTATTTAAGGATGGCGCAACATTCCTGTATCAAGCATTTTGAAGAATCAATCCCCAGGCAATCATGCTGGTCTAAAGGACCAATCAATCAATCAATCAATCAATCAATCAATCAATCAATCTTTAATTTTCACTTGGAAATAAATTGAAGGGGACCCAAATGGATTGAAAAGCAATTCAAATAAAGGTGCAATGTGCTACCAGACAGGTGCACAGGGACAGATTAAAAGTGTGTGTGTGTGTTAGTCAGACAGAGACATTAAGGAAGAGAGAGGAGGAGTACAACTGGATCTGTATAAAGAGAACTGTGGCCAATCCAAAGTCCAGATGAGGTAAAGCTACACACTCAGACTAGCGACTTCCTTACATTAAAGTGGAACCGCAGTCACTAAGATAATCAATATATTTTAAATACGTCGTTTTACATTTATAGAGAATCAGGGGTCAGTGAGTGCTGTCTGTCTGTTTGTACTGTCCATGGTGCTGAAACTCTTGCTCATCTAATGCTCACACAGGCTTTCTTATTCTAGCCCCTTTCACACTCATTATCGTTGTGAGTGTGCTATGAAATTCACCATGAAAGTATGTGAGGTCTTCAGCATCAATGGCCAAAACTCCCTTCTTTCTAAATCATGATTAAAATACACTCCTGTGACATATTTTTATTTGTAAAACTAAACAAATGAACTCAAAACAAAAGTATCACAAAAATATTCCACTTTGCTGGCAGGTTGTTTGGGCAACAAGGGTGAGATGGATAACATGTTTGTGAAACTTTGATGTGTTTTGAGAGCAAATCTTAAGATGAGGTAATGAAAGAATGAAAGATTGACTGACAAACTAAATCAAAAGTTGTGTTGTCATCCAGAACATGAATATTACTAAAAGTAGTTATCAGTTCAGCCATAATGAAGAGTCTTGATGGCATTTAAATCCACACCAAACCATCTGTCAACTGATTCCAATGTTTATAAGAGGTACTATATAATGGGGAAACACCACAAGGGACTTTGTTTAGATGTTATACCAGAAAACAGATAATCTCCAATAGATGTAAACTCTTAGAGCCAGTTTCCCAGAAAGAGATTAGGCCTAGTCCTGGACTACACAGGATCTTAAATAAAGATTTCACATTGAAAGGAAATATACTCCATTAATAGACTGTCCTGTCATCTTGACATCCTGTCTAGGAAACTATTCTATTTAAGCAGCTTTTAGTCTTTCTTCTATTATATTTATGCAACTTTAAGCTTAACATCATTTATTTCAACTGTTAAATATCAAACCACTGTTGTTTCAGATGACAGTCTACTGGCCCCAGAAGTAGAAGTCTTCAACAATGCAAGGTAAAGTGTGTTTGTCCAAACAGTTACCATTTATTGATGAAATGCAGCATATATGCATAATAAGATATATATATTTCTGATATTTAACAGTGCAGTAAATCCATTACAGTTAACAATTCAGTTCATAACTATGGTGCTAGAACTCTTCAGTATTCAGAACATTCAGATCCTCCTCAGCAGTGCTAAATTTTATTAGTATTAACCTCAGAATATGTACAAAAATCTGAGCTCTCGACTCTCTTCTTCATCCGTTTCTGTCCTCTGCTTGGGAGATCCAACGAAGCATAGCACACTTCATCTTTTCCAACCTGAAGCCAAATAAAAAGCATTTGATTTTCAGAGTACCGTGCCTTTTTTTAAGAATAAAGATTTAAGTGTATAACTTCTTGTTGTTCTTTATAATTAGTGTTTTTACCGTCTTTTCAAAGAAACACAGCATATAGCTAAGCAGTCAAGATTGGTTGACACCACAGGGATTATCATAATGTATCTGCATACTGCATGCTGGGTATTGTAGTGAGAGATTATCGTATAACAGAATATTACAAAATAAATAACACATTAAGCTGTTTTAGGCTGGAATGCCTCTTCAAGACTACACATATCATATGTGCAAGAGTACAGGCAACTCCTGCATAGGACTACACAGTCTTACAGAAGCTCATCAATAAAACATTAGCGCATCAGGGATGATGGCCCACCAGCAGTGTGTGCACGTCACAATACCTTGTCATTTTTTCTACTTGTTGTTTTCTTCCGCTCTCCCATATCATCTTTTTTCTCCACTGTCACTGAAATAGATCAGAGATCATCCATATGTAAATACTATAAATAATGCTCAAGTCTATATATTTCAGAAAGAACACTGTCACTGGGGCAGTTCTCTTCTTACACTCTCAGAAATAAAGGTATGGAACTGTTACTGGGACAGTTCCCCTCTTGTCACTGGGGTGGTAACCTCAGAGGTACATCTCAGTACCTTTAGTCAGGGAACATAGTTGTACTATAATCCATTAAAATTAGAAAAAAAAGGCTACACATCCCGTCCCGACTCCACACATCCCGTCCCATCTCCAGGCTTTTCATTTTGTTGTTCTATTTAAAAGATTAGATTCTGAAAATATACAAATATGTATTTTTCCACTGGGAAAAACGTATTTAAGGTGCACAGTTGGATCCTAAAACCACTGTGGTACCTTTGAGGTACATTTACATAGTTTGTACCTTGATGAATGAAAAATGTACCTGCACAGAACCTTTATTTCTAACAGTGTATTACTGGGGTGGCATCCTCAAGGATGCATCTATAGTAAGAGATATAATTGCACCATATTCAAGAAATTATATTTTTTAAGTTAAGAATTGACTCCATGCATCCTGTCTTGTCTCCAACCTTTTTATTTTAAAGCTCTGCTTCAAAATATTTGGCTACAAAAAGTTTCAAATATATACTTTTTCCCTGGGAAATACTTATTTAAGGTATACAGTTGGACCTTCAAACCACTGTTGTACCTTTACATGGTTTTACCATGATGACCAAAAAATGTACCTGCATAGAACCTTGTTACACTAACAAATTTGTAAAGTAAAATCATTGTGTAACATGTGGATGGACTGAACCTGGGCTGCCTAATACAGGAAACTAAAGTTAACTAGGTGAGCCGCCCACTGAGAGCAAGGATAAAGTCAAGAAACTACTGTGTCTGATCCACTCATATCGGTGCAACACACTAACACACCACCACCACCACATCAATGTCACTGCACTGTTGAGAATGACCCACTGAAGCAATAATACTTGCTCTGTGGGGGTCCTGACCATTGAAGAACAGGGTGATAACAGATGGACTACAGTCTATAATTTAGAACTAAAAAGTGTCCCAATATGGTAAGTAGAGCTGATAAAATGGACACTAGAAGGTGGTTTTAAAGTTATGTCTGGTAAGTGGATGTGGTGTGTGCATTCATGGCTAGCAGAGGAGTTTATGATTTGGCCACTCATCTGCATGTATGAAAATTTAAACTTAAAGAAATCATACCTTCAACCTATATTTGAGTTTCTTTCACACAAGTTTATCAATCACACCATAAACTGAACAGCACATTACAGCAGTTACTGCACTTGTACCAACTGTTAAGGCTACGAAGTCGGAAATAACCAAATATCTATTAATTATAACATGACGGGATAAACTAGTTCACTGAAACACTAAATGTGTAAAATGCATAAAAATGTATATATGAGAAATTACAGAACAGAGTTTCTGCTGTAGATTTAAAGCTGTTCTTCACAGTGTACGTTCTTGAAAAAGATGGTCTTTTAAGAGTTCTTCAGTGAAGAAAATGGTTCTATATAGAACCATGAACATTCAAAGAACCCTTTGCATGGTTAAGGTTTTTTTTGCATCGTGACTAATGGAGATTGTGTTGTATATGGTTCTATATAGAACCTTTTTGAAAAGGGTTCTATATAACACCAAAAGGGTTCTTCTATTGTTACGATGTCAAGCTTGTTATAATAGAAGGATCTTTTTTGGTGCTATATAGAACCCTTTTTTAAAAGGGTTCTATATAGAAGGGTCCTGTGTATGTTCATGGTTCTATTTAGAACCATTTTCTTTACTAAAGAACCCTTGAACAACCATCTTTTTAGTGAGTAGAAAACTGTGATATAAAACAGAAACAGTTAAATGTTTGACACTATTGATGCTCCACCTCTCATTTAGCAAAGACATAATATGAATAATGAAAATTCTGGAATATAATAGAAGAAGATTTTTAAAAATATTAGGAAAGAGAGAGAGAGAGAGAAAGAGAGAGAGAGAGAGAGAGAGAGAGAGAGAGAGAGAGTACCTTTATTTATGTATCTGTAGATGCAGTACACAAAGCTGAAGGAGAGGAGAACACACACAGGACACACACTGACCAGTAGCTTCCAGCAGACGCTACAGTCTGATAAAGGAGGGGTGGGGGTGGGGGTGGTCTGGAGCGTTGTGTCTACATTAGGAGAAAAACAGCAGAACTAAGAAATGGTGATGGTGCAGATTACTGTGAAACTATTAAAATAATGAATTGTGATTGATCTCATTTTTGTGTTTAGTTAATTGTGATTAATTGCATTTGTCTTATTTGCTCCCTTGACTTCTCAAGCTCATGAAATCTGGTTACAGTGGAGGATCTGGAGGGGAACTGAAGCTCCACCAAGCTGCTGCTTTTGTTAGTTTGCTGCTGGTTGATTTATCCATACATGCTCTGCGAGTTCCACCCAGCATGGTGTGTTGCAGGTATCGCTTTAAAAGCCATTTAACAGCTGTTTGAATGAAAAGGCCTATAATCACAGATTCTGTCTATTCTATTATGAAAAATGCATCAGCGGTTTTGAAAATGTTTGTGCCATTAATAATTTATCACTAACACATTGTTAACACATTAAGTCTGACGGCCCTCGAGCAGATAGATCTCAAACATCTCATAAATCTTACAGACCTGTGCTTACACATTTTGAATAACTCAGTAGATCAGAGTGAGAGATCTTACCAAGGAAAGAGAGTCGAGTGGTCCTGGTTCCAAAATGACAAACTTCTTCCCAAGAACAAGCCCGAGTTTTATCTTTGGCAGAACTCTTCTTCTGTACAGCACAGTAGTACAAGCCGAGGTCTGACTCACTGACGTTCTTCACCAGCAGATCACTGGTTTGTTTGCAGACATTCGACACAATTGAGTAACGTGGATTGGCATGTTGCTTCAACACCATGTGCTCATGTGAGGAGTTTTTAAACCACACTGTCTCAAATCCATGCTTCCAAAAACAGTCACTGTAGAGAGTGACGTTGTCTCCTGGTCTGACTCTAATCTCCACCTCTTCTCCAGAGATCCTGGAGAACAAAACACCTACAACCCATTAAACTTTCCATTTAAAAATCTCATGTACCTTTAAAAAAATAATCTAGATCTTCTTAAACAGAAAGCCACACTAGATGTGTTGATTCTCTTTGTCTATAAAATGAATAAATCCCAGCTGTTCTGATGGTAACTGAATGTTGAAAGATCCACCACAGTATAAAAATAATCAGATGATAAAGTTAACTTACAGCTGAGAGTGATAAGAACAGCTCTTGATCTCTCCATCTCAGAGACTGGTGCTGGGTGGCAGATGAGGGTGAAGGTCTTTGAAGCGGATGTCTGTGTTGTAATCTGATTGGTCCACGTCAGTGGAACGTTTCTATTTTTGATTACGTCTCACTGTGTAGCAGTTATTCTTAATGCTCAGACAACTCACCAATGAGAGACGTGGAAAATAATTTCACACTATCTGATTGGTCACTTCTTAGGAGGGTGGTCTTTGACTTCACTTGGCGGATGTGTAGACAGAGATGTGTAGATAGATAAAGGTGGCTGTGTAGGTTTGGCTGAAAGGCCAATGTGTGTCCAATAAAGTAAACATGGTTGATACACAAGCAATGACTTTTACTAAGCAAGCGTATTTGTGTTTAACTCTAAAGTACAACTGGCACTGTACCAGAGTCCACTGTCCACCCTAATCTAACAGAGGTAGCTCAACTCATTAAAGCAGGGAGGTCACTAAAAACATCAGGTAACACAAGTCTGCAGGGCTTGTCTTCTGCTTTAAGTGCTTTAAATTATACAAACCTAGCACAAATCACTGTCAACATATGTAACCAAGTGATAATGAAAGACTATTAAAAGCTGTAAAGTAATTTCAGGAAGTTACGAATTACATATAGGTAAGAATAGCCCATTGTTAGCAGATCTGAGATCAGTTCTTGAAGGCAATCAGGGCCAGATATATGTATGAGTTCAGCAACGCATAATTGATATGACGAATTAATCCTATTCATGGCCAGGGCCTGCTGCTGTGCCCAAAGTTTTATTACATATTTCTATAACCTAAGAATAGCTCAACCAGTTTGCACTGAAGTCCCTGTAGTTACTACATAATAAGCCTTAGTTTGCAATAAGCCTGAGATTTTAAGGGGTTAACATTCACTTTATGTAGGCTGGACCAAGAAAAGCAAACTGCAAACAGCCACATCTTACAACTCCACCTATGTGGAAATAAGGAAGTGAAATTTCAGTGATGAACTTACAATATATTAACAAGGGAGTGGCATAAAGCATGTTGCCACTAAACTCTGGAGTAGTGCAAACACATTCTGTCAAGTGACGAATCATGCACCTCTATCTGTCAGTCTGATGGACGAGTCTGGGTTTGGTGAATGCCAGGAGAACGTTACCTGCCTGACTGCATTGTGCCAACTGTAAAGTTTGGTGGAGGAGGGATAATGCTATGGGGTTGTTTTTCAGGGGTTGGCCTAGACCCTTTAGTTCCAGTGAAGGGAAATTGTATGTTTCCAACTTTGTGGGGACAGTTTGGCAAAGGCCCTTTTCTGTTCCAGCATAAGTGGGCCACCGTGCACAAAGCAAGGCCCATAAAGGCATGACTGGGTGAGTTTGGTGTGGAAGAAGTTGACTAGCCCTCCCAGAGCCCTGACCCCAACCCCACTGAACACCTTTGGGATGAACTAGAATGGAGACTGCAAGCCAGGCCCTCTCGTCCACCATCAGTAAAAATTCCCACAGAAACACTCAAGAATCTTATAGAAAGTATCCCAGAAGATGGGAAGCTGTTATAGCTGCAAAGTGGGGACCAACTCCATATGAATGCCTATGGATTTAGAATGGGATGTTGTAAAAGTGGGTGTAATGTGTAGGTGTCCCAATACTTTTGTCCAAATGTCCCACCAAGACATTTTAGGGGGTTTTCCTCTGAATCTTCTAAAACAGTAACACCCATTATGACTGACTATTGCGACTTTTTTTGTGCTGAGTCATTTCAAACGTGTATCCTGTGTTATTCTACCCTGCCTTGTGTCTATATTGTACTGGTAAACATTTTTTCAGCTCATGTTTGAAGCCCATGTGAAACTTGTCACTTCTAGCTACTCAAACAAAAGCAAATGCTGCAGAGTATGCAATCATCCACACCTTCAATGTGTCTGCCAAGTTTTGGAGCGATCCTCCCTCAAATACATGTATGTGAGTGATATGGGCCATTAACTGCACCTTTAGGCTCAATCAGCAGTTAACATGTCAGAAAATATCTGGTTTGTGCCGGAAACTTGGTAGACATATTAGAAGTGTGGGTGATTACATACTCTGTAGGATTTACTATTGTTTTAATAGCCAGAAGTGGCCCGTTTTCCATGGACTTTCCAAAGGCCAAAAGACTTCCAACAAAGAAATTGTGGTTAATACACAAGCAATGACTTTTATTAAACTGTGAGCAGAACTTTTAATCAGAATATTCATGCTAAAACATGTCTGGTTTGTGCCTGAAACTAGTACAAAAAGCCTAGTTTAATGGGGACCCACCATGCACTTGCCAAAGTTGACTCTGCTAGTTTCCTGTTTTTGCACCTTTGATGTTGAGGTTGTGTGTACATGTGAGAGTGGTCAGAAGGGTGAACCTTCACACAGTTTCATTTGTGATGTTACAGTCAACAACTGCATTAAAGCCATTAAAGTCTAAACTGAGTGTGTGTGTTTGTGAGTGGGTGCTTGTGAAGTTGGGGTCAGCATAGGGACCTACTTGTTGTCACTTTCAGGATATATTCTATATATCTATTCAGACTTGAAGGATCAATTCTGAGACAGTGCACTTTATTTCAGCTGTTAACCAAATAGCCTAATCAACAGATAGACAGGTGAGTAAAGACTGTGCCTATTTGTCATAGATCTGTTTAGTGCTTGTGCGGCATCTACAATTTCAAACCTTTTTCAAAGTTGTCCTCTATTCAAATGAAGGATAACTAAATGATCCAAACTGAAGAGATGAACACTGAAAAGGGGGACAGGTCATCTGGACAGACCTGTGTGTTAAAATGAGCAGGAGGATGTGTTTTGTGTTGTGGCTTTCTCAGAAACTGAAAGTAGCTCCTGTTTGTCTCTGCATATTTATGAGGTGGTCATGTCTAACCACAGAAGTTTCCATGACTGTGTGTGATGCAGAAGGTAAACTGCCATTCGAGCTGTGGTAGAATACACTAGTTTTGTATTATTCACCATTTCAATAAATTTAGTCTACAACAGACTGCATCAGATCCGAGGTCATGACAGTTTCAGCACTTCTACACAATTCAGAAAAAGTGAGGTCGGCCAGTAAAGACAGTCAGTGAACAGTGGTCTGATATGATCTGAGCTGCAGGGTCTCATTGTGGTTTCCTGTTTCAGCGTTGTTTTCAAACTCTCAGTGTGGGGGTGGAGAATCATTGCTCATGGTAGCTGAGTAAAAGTGTTGCCACTTACTTTATCCCCCCCAAGTGTTAACAGTTCAACTGATTGGCTTCTTATATACACAAATTTACTCAAGTAATAAGCAGCCGAAATAAACCCCATTCTGGAAATTTGACCACCTCTGTGAACTGCCTTGAAAAGGGTGGCAAGATATATCTTTTCTAAAAAATCACTCTCCACAGTTCTGTAACTTCTGATGAATATCTGTACATGCTGTTTTAAAGGTCTGGTGTAGCTGAGGCAGTTATTTACCTAAAATCAACATGTTATCTATGTCAATCACCAGCCAGAACCCCTTTCATAGTGATGCTATGTGATGGCCACCACACAAAGTGTCAGCCATTACCCACAGTTTTAAACTTAAAACTATTAAGCCAAAGATGCAGACAACACTGACATTTGGGACAGTCCAGGTTAGTGGTTGCAGCTGCTGGGCTGGCACCTGGTTTAGGGACAGTGTTGTCCCAGCTTCCTGCTGGCTCTTTGGATTTGGCAAGGGTGTGGTAGGCCAATCCCAGCTTCACCATGTTCACTGCATGGCAGCAGGTAGCTGTAGTGTCAAATAGCTGCTGATCTTCAGCAACAGGCCTTTTGTATGGCTTGGACAGAACACCCACACCTCATTGCTCATGAGCAAAGTCCTGATCACAGCAGGGGTCATCACCTCTCTCACAAGACTCTACCTTTGTTTGGTTTGATAAAGGTGGCAGCTTCACAGTCCATCTTATGTTCTAGCAAGCTTTCAAACAGCAAGCAAACCTGCAGCTTCTGCTTCTGACCAAACATCAGCAAGCAGCAAGAGAACACTGGTGTGGACTTTGGTGTGCCCACAAGATCAGAGCAAGTGGAGGTGCTAATCACACTGTCGAAAGCTAGGAGAAAGGCAGTCTTTGGCTTTGTTCACACAGCAGGTAAAAAGTGGCCCAAATCCGATCTTTTTCTCCGTATGTGACTGACATTGTCAATTCCGACTTGAGACGCTTTCATATTTAGTACTGAAATCTGATACGTCTCCGATCTGTAGCAATGCGACTCAGTCTGAACAACCATATTAGAATTCATGCGACTTTTACATCAGTTCAATTCGACATTCATCATAATTTTGCGCTGCTAAGACTCATAAACATTTAGGCTGATGCTTCTGTACCAAAAAATTAGAAGAGACTTATCGCAACCGCTCCGTGTTCGAAGAGATTTCGAACGAAACGGCCGAATGCGGCCAGAGGACAGAGAGGATGCAGCGTCAAAAAAAGCATAAAGAATCTGAGGACATGAACCAAAGAAGTGGCCGTGCCCTTTTTACGGTGAACTCAAACACATTGTGGGTGATGAGCCCAGCTGTGTCAATAAAGCTTTGTGATGGCTCCTGTGATGCTGGCTGACGAAACTGAAACCTGAAACCTCTGCGAGCGACTAGCGTTCGCTGGCCGTCACGGTTGTTTACCTCTGGACGAGCTTGTCACGTGAAGCATTATGGGTCAATTTAGGAGCATGATCCGTTCAGACTAATGTCACAAACAGATCATATTTCAAAGATATTGTGAACAGCCAAACCAAAAAAAGGGATTTGGTGAGAAATATCAGATTTGGGCCACTTTTATCTGCTGTGTAAACGTAGCCTAGTGGCAGTGGTCCAGTTAAAGCACCCAATCAGGACATTACACACCTGTGCCTCAGAATTTTGTCACTGTCCACTATAATTGGTAACATGGACCATTTAGTGAGTCAGTCAAAAGCAGCTGTTACATAGTGGTTCCTAGTGAGAAATGGGAATAAATCCACCTAAACGCCTAAACAACCGCATGTCAACTGGTGCCCTCACCAGGT